CTGCCGATGCGGTGCAGCGCGAACGGGTCCGACGGCAGGTTCAGGTCGCGGAAGAGATAGCGCGTGGTGACGTCGTAGCAGTTTGTCGTGACATTATTGGCGTACATCAGACCCTCGAGGTCGCGCGGCGCGAGGTACGAGGGGAGGCCCAGACGGGTCGTGTTGAGCTCGGAGAAGAAGGTGGCCGTCGCAAAGCCGAGACCCTCAGTGGCCGTCGTCTTGAAGAGGTTCTGGCCGAGACGGAAGGGCTTGTCGTCTCCCTCTTCCATGTCCCTGGTGGTTTCACCGTGACTTGACCCGGGCCGGTGCCGTGGTGGCGACGAGTATCGCTGGCGTATCTTCTCCGTGCTTGTCTCGAGGAGAGCGTCGAGTTCGCCGAGTTGCTCGTCGGCAAGGTAGAGGGCGCTGTTCCGGAGAAAGGTCGGTACAGGTTGGCCCTCGACTCCATATTCCGGTTCCGCCGTGCGATGAGGATTGGCGACCCTCTTCTCCGTCAGACCGTAGTAGAAGGTTTCATTGAGGGCGGAGAGGGGGTATGACGGCCCCAGGGGCACGATGGTTCCTCCCCAGGGCAGCCCAATGGTCGCCACGATGGCGGCGACGATCGCCAGCGCAATCGGCGCAAGCAATGCCTTCCTCGTCCCTGGGCTCTGTCGCTGCCAGGCGGGCCATCGTGAACGCAAGATGGGACGGAGCCGCAATCCCTGTTTCAAGGCGTGGGCTTCAGACAACAGGAGAAACTCCTCGCAGGTCCTGGCCATGCGGACTAGGAGATAGAAATACGCCAGACCAACCAGGCAGCACATGACAACCCACAAGACTGGGTTGATGTGCTGCCAGTTCGACCCCATGGTGTGGTATCCACCGGTCACTTCATGCTCCCTCCTCGAGGTGGCCGCGCGGAGGATGGTGAGAAATTTGGTCAGGAGCGGCACGGCGTTGATGGCGTAGAGGCCAATCTGGCATTGGCACAAGAACCACGTATAGCCCATTGGATTTCGCTATCGCACACTCATGAAGTTGAAACCCCGGAATAGGTATGTTGCTGCATACGGTCAAGAAAACGAGAGCATCAGCTTTTTCATTTGGTCCGCTGCTAGTGGAAGGGGTTGGCTTTTATCGGCAGCGAGGGGCCGGACGGATTGTTCTCACGGCAGCAAGGTGCCGGATTGCTCAGATGCAGCTTGGCGACGAAGCGAAATTGGCCTCAACTGAAGTCGCAGTAGCTTGTGATCTCGGTAGGCTCGGTGAACGATTCTTGTATTTCGATCAGAGTGTATTTCGATTAGAAATCTCGGCATGTCAGACTCTAGTCAAACCACCCCGTCCCCTGCTCGCTGGCCTCCAAATCGTTTCGAGTATCAAAAATTATGTAGAATGCTCTACTGTTGGAAGAACGACGGATGCGCTACGCCGTGACGACGCCGTACCAGGTAAGCCCGAGCACGGCACCCATGACGATGACGACGGGCGGGTTTACGCTGAAAGAATACCCAAAGACAAAACTCGACGCCGTGACAACCACCCACCACGGTTCCTGCGCCAAGCTTGTTCCCTGCTGGAAGTCTTGGTCGATGTAGCCAATCTGCCACAATCTGTAGACGGCTGTGTATATGAGCCCAACGGCACCGGCATTGACACCCCTCAGCAGCGACTTGACCCATCGCAGACCACGGATGGCGCTCCAAATGCCCATCGTTCCGTGCACGGTGATAAGGCCTGGGGCGAATATGCCGATGTAACCAAGCACCGCGCCGGCGGCCGAGCTGTAGCCTCCGTTGATTGCTGTCAGTGCGCCGAGGTAGACGGCGAAGTTGAAGTTGGGGCCCGGAAAGCTCTGCTGAATGGCGAGGCCGATGAGGAAATCGCGGGGGCTGACCCAGCCTTCGGCGACAACGTACTCTCGCAAAAGAGGAATGACCACGGGACCCCCGCCAAAGATGATCGTTCCGGCGAGGTACATGTTGGCGAAGAAGCTGTAGAGAAGCGGTTTCGTGGGCAGCACGCCGCGGAGGACCATGACCACTGTGAACGTGATAAGGAAGAAGACAATGATGGCAAGACCAATGGCCCAGGAGAAGTCCAGAACACGCTCTGTTGGGACCACCCGAGGCTCTGTCTCGGCTTCGGAGCGTTGGTTCTCAGTAATGGGGAGGGTATCGACCGCGTCGTTGCGGTTCGGTGGCGCCTCGTGCTCTCGCGAGACAGCGCTACTTCTATCGTCCCGTTGCGTTTCCGGTAATTCTATAGACTCATTCTCTGGAGCACGGCTCTTTTTTCGTGATTCTTGACCAGTTCCAGCACACCTTTGGCGAGGGATGAAGCCAGCGAAAGTCATACACACCGTGACGACACTGCACAGCATCAGGAGAGAAATACCACACGCGTGTAGAGATCCAGCTGCGCTGCGACGAGACATCATGCGGTCAAGGATCAGTGATGCTTCTGATAGCTGACAGCGCACAGCACATAATGCCACGGTCGAAGCGTTGAGACCGGAGAGCAGGGCGTAGACTGGGCCAGGCAGAGAGTCGCCAACATTGGAAATCCGACGGGAAAGGCCGTACATGCCGAGAGCGCCAGGCAAACTGCCAAATCAAATCAGCACACGCGCGCGCGAATGGTGGCTATGTCGAGTTGAGCATCGTACCTCCAGATAAAAAACCCCAGCAAGGCAGACAGGAACCCATCGTGGATCAGGTTAATGCAGTAATGCATCTTGGTGCTGCCAGGTCCAGAGAAGGCCTGGCACACGCTGAAAAGCTCTTGGTACTATGTCATTCTTTAGAACAAGTTTCGGCTGCACACCACGAGACTTACAATTTGTTCATCGATCCATCCCAGCTTGACCACAAATTTCTCGCGGAGCTACAAGAAGGACCTTCATCAGCATCTAACGCCTCAAACCCTCCTCGTCGCCTTCCTCGTCAACGCCTTCAATTGGGACATTCCGTAAGTGGTGAGACTCACAATCTTGAAATGCACTGGCGGGCCTCCAAAGGCAGTGAAGCCCAAATGATAGTTGGTCCTGAACGTGCTCCACAGTTTCTTGGAAACACGGGCTGTCCGCCAACTTGTGCTCTTTCTGATAGCCATCACCGCTCCTGGGTACCTAGCGATGCGTGTGCGTACGTCTGGATAACGGTAAGAAATAGAGTTGAGAAGACTGACTGCATTCAATATCGGGACGCATCTGGTGTTGGGGAGGGAAGAGAAGGCCGCATCAATGCGTTGATATTCTATTGGCCGCCCGTGGTTGAGTATTAAAACCATGGCCAATTTAACCAGCATAAACATGCCAATAGTGAGTACAGAACAAAGCACGTGGAAATGGCGGCGCATGCTTGGGCATCACGTGCGGCCTCAGAGAATTTATTCCCTGAGCAATAATCACTCTATCAGCCCGGCCAGAACTGGATTGCACGTCTGTTGTCATTCAAGATGTGTGCTGACCTTGAAGCAAGTTTATTTTTATGTCGGTGGGTTTGACAATTGCCAAGTCAACCACAAACCTGATAATTGACCAGATCCGGAGGCCAAGCGGGTGATAGAACATGTATACGACTGACATGGTATATCAGACTTAAGCTGGTGACCTTTATTTTTCATAGAACACTTCGTCGCGCTATGCATTCGCTTTTCTGTATGGGCTTTTACTGAGGAGCATTTAAGTACTACCATGCCAAGTACACGGCGAGAGGACACTCAGTACAATTCGCAGATCACGTCGAATTACAGGACAAACTTGGTCAACAGAAGCTTATCGTAATTCATCACCTATCAAAAATCCGAGCCCAGCGAAAACAGAACCAGGCACCGTGTACGCCACCGCCGAAGCGCACTCGTCGCCCGACGGTAAACCCTATTTCCTAACCGTCCAGAGACGCCTTGACCAGCCAGGCCCTCCCGGGGGTGTACGATTTAGTACACGTAGAACACATTTGTCTCGTTCTCGCTCGCGCGCAGCGCCCTGTTCCTGCGCTTCATGATGATCTTGGCGAGCCAGGCCAGCGCGGCCGTGGCGATGCTGAAGGCGGCGCTGCTCATCATGGCAATTAGGTAGCGGGGCTCGTCGCTCTTGGGCCACAAGTAGGGGGTCCAGATGAAGCTGATGTTCATAATGGTCGTGACCATGCCAATGGCGACGGCCTTCTTCTCCTTGGTCTGACCGCAGGTGCTGCCGCACCATCCGAGGATGAGCGAGTTGACGCCGTACGTTCCTGGGGGTTGGTGTTAGCGTTGGAATGGCCTTTGCGGTTTCATGGGGGAGTGATCACGTACCAATAGTGAAGATGACCATGGAGGCATAGCGGCCGCCGACGTTGTTAACGGCGGCAGCGGCAACGAAACCGATGGTGGCGACGGCTTTCGAGATGGTAATGTGCCAGGTGCGCTCGTTGAAGCGGCCAGAAGACCAAGACACGGCGATGGTGACGGCGCCGGCAATCAGGTAGGGAGGGCAAGTCAGCACAAGGGTGATGGTCTGGCCGAATCCGAGGGTCTTGACGACAGAGGGGAAGAAGTTCTGCTCATGTCAGCCATTGTCAAAAGTGACCCCAAGACAACAAAAACGTACCTTGAAACCGTTGGCAGCGAGATGCATGTGGGCCATGGCGCAGAAGATCCAGACCATGGGGTCGCGGCAGGCCTCCTTGAGACCCTTGGTGAGACCAGTCTGGCCCTCGTTGGAGACGGTGTCGAGCTCAATGCGGTTGTGCGCAAGGTTGCGCTCCTCCTCGGGTGAGCCACTTAGTGGTCAAGGGGAAGTCGGGAAGGACAAAGTAGCCAACAATAGCAATGACGAAGGTGACGGCACCCTGGAGGATGAAAAGCCACTGCCAGCCAGCGAGACCACCAGCGCCGTCCATGCCGTGGAAAACACCAGCGGCGATGAGACCAGCAAAAGCGGTGGCAAGGATGTTGCCAGTGTAGAGGATGGCGATTCTGGTGGCGACCTCCTTACGGTTGTAGAAGATGGACAGGATGTAGACGGCGCCAGGGTAGTAAGGAGCCTCAGTGAGACCGAGGAAGAAACGGGTCAGGAGAAGACCAATGTAGTTGTGGGAGAGCGCGGTGAGGGCAGAAACGATGGCCCAGAGCATCATCATGATACCCTAGATGTGTGAGCGGCGATCAACGCAGAAAACTTTGACCGGGACGTACCATGTAGCGGGAAGGCCTCGTTCGGGTGAGGAACATGTTGGAGGGAATCTGACCCAGGATGTAACCGACGAAAAGAATAGAAACGCAGGTCTGGTACTCGGTGCCGGAGAGGTTGAGGTCATCCTCGAGGTCGTTCAGGCGCGCCAAAGCGATGGCATTACGATCAAGATAGTTGAGCCAGTACATAGACCAGAGCATGGGCTGGTGGTTCAGTCAGCAATCACTTTCCCAGACGCGTTGTGACCAGGCACATACCATGATCCAGCGGTCGAGCTTCTTCACGAGAGCAATCTCCTTGGGATCGGTCTTCTCGTGGGCACCAAACTGATCAACCTTCTCGACGCGGGGGACAGGCTTCTCTGGGCCGCCATCGTCGAACATGCCGGACTCGTTGGTGCGAGCATGCTCGATCTCAGCCTGACGGGTCTTCTCGTCGGCCGACATGTTTGCGATGATGATATTGATGAGGTAGGAAAGAAGGTTTAAAGGATGGAGGAAGAGAGAGAAGTGACCAGTCACTACCAATGATCAAGAGAAGGGTGATGCTTCGTCTTGTCTGACATGAGAGAACTTTTGGGAGCTGAAGGGGAATCTCCTAGATATAGGTTTTCCAGCCCGCCTTGCCCATCCCCAATCCCATTCCCCAGACTACGACTCCAAAGACTCCTCTTCCCCAGCTGACACTACTGCTACCCCATGTCTCCATTGCGCTGGTTACGCTGAATCGCGCTATGTTCCCCGCGGGGGAGGACGTGGTCCATGTGGAGCGAAAGGAGGAAACAAACGAGATGGAACGCTGACCCGTGTTCCACGCGAGAGATGGACAGAAAGCAGCCGTGGCGGCGTCTTGCCCCCGACTCCATCCGACAAGCGTGCCCATCCGTGCCATCATCATGGCACACCCATCGTTGGATGCGATGGAACCTGAACAAACCTTCACGCTAGCACGAGTCGGGCCTGCCGTCGGGCCAAGCAAACGTGCAGCAAACAGCCGCATCACGACCCTAGTGTTGGTCTTGGCAGCGTCAAGACTATGTTCAGCCTTCTCCGGTGCGAACGAACAGTGACACACATTGCGCGCACGGAAGAAGCAGGCGATCGTGCGCGATGATCCAAAACCATGCTGAAGAAGGTCGAGTCGCCGACCATCCCAACGTACCCGGGCACGCAACACCAAGCAGTCCCGGGTTTTGCACTTGGCAGGTCCACCAGGGGATGCCAATCGTCCCCCAGGGTGCCCGTGATGCTGTGATGCCCTGACTCGCCCGCCGCTGGCCAGACGACACCCCCCAAGCCCCCTGCCGCTCCCGCACGCGACATTGTGGGGGATGCTCGAGCTTCCGGTATTCTAGCGCTCAGTCTAGGACCCGACGGTGTCCGGTCCTGTGGCCACTGGGAGAGAAGACCGCTTAGGCGCCCGCAGGCGACGACCCAACAGAGGCTGTAGTGCAACCTCTTGGGTCTCCATGACCGTGCGTATGGTGTTGTATCCCCCACCTTGGCCGTCTGGCGCATGAGGTGTTGAGGGGCAGAAGGCGAAGGAGGCTGGAGGATGCTGGGTTCGACGCATGTGCAGTGAGATTGCGTCGATTCCACCTCCCCGCCCCCATGTATTCTTCTTTTCGGTGTGTCAAGTGGTTACTTTTCTTTGAATGCTATTTCGTAGCATACTCCTCAATTGCGACATGATCTCCCAAAACAGGTGGCACCAGCACATCGCATGTCTCTCTTGGCAGCCGCTGTGTGATGCAATGTCGGCCTGTCCGTTGTCCTGATGTGCCGTCCACGATGATCACGCAGAGCACAAAGACCAGTGACGTCTCTTAGCCATCTGCGGGATGACAGAGGTGGACCATGGCATCTCACCAACGAGAATGTCTCATCTGGAACTCGAGGGATCGATCTGCACCATCCGACGGCCTGCGGCAGTGCACCATGGGGTTAGAGATGGTACCCCTTGGAGAAAGGATCATCGATCATCTCGCAAAGGCAAAGCGTTGGAAATCAGGCGCTGTAACTCGTTGGTGCGGCAGAATAGCGTGAACTGGCGCGAACATGGCGGCCAGTAACACCAAGTCCAGTGGTCAGCTCAGCCGTCTGCTGGAACCGTCTGGTGCTACTCGCACTAGATCGGTAGCTGGAGTACGACCCCCGTCAGGGAGCAATACGATCAGCCAACCTTGAATTAAGCTTATGCCCAGCACGGCCGGTTGCTGCCACAGGTACCTAGGTCGGTTCCATAGGAGGTGGATCAGGCATGTTGTAGTTTGGCTTGCTCCGACCGGTTGCAGCGTGGCGGCCACACATTTCTCGTACCTACATGTGCTCCCTTCACTACGTTCCCCGCGTATCCGTCTCACCGGAACATTAAGGATCATGGTCGCGAAGTCTGTTGTCTCGAGAAGCCGCGAAATTATCGTCCGTTGGTGGCCATCCAGACCCAGATCGACGGCAGTTGACTCTGTCATGCCACATTTACGCCTCATCCGTGGCGACCTTTACCCTACATGGGTTTCCGCCGACGCTTTAGCACACTAACGCGAACGAGGCACGTTCCACGCTGCATGGAAGGGAAGCGAGGCCAGCCGTGTCTCGAGTGCTCCAGCCAACGATGCTCAGAGGCGGGGAGCGAGCAAGACGAAGGGTGACCACCTCTCGGAGGGACCCGTACCCGGAACATCAAGGGCTCACCGCTGCGGCTCAATAACAAGACGAAGAGTCAGCACAACAGTATTCCTTGCATGAGAGCAAATACCGCCGCGCTTAGACTCGACTGCCAGCTGGTGGGGACGACGAATCAAACCAGCGCGATCACACCTCGTACCCCCCGGAGAAGTAGTCACGGCTCGTGCCAGGTACCATCCAATGCCACCTAAGCGTAAGCAACCTGGTCCATAAAAAAAGGGAGCCCTTGTTTAGTGCGAAAAGACCACGCAGGGCACTGCACAAAAGGGGCAGGGTACGGAACATTCCCAGAACCTTTGTCCCCCGCACGGCTGTAGTCTTCGTAATTTGCTGGCTGCTGGGGAAAACCACAGGCCTCAAGATTGACACACTCGTGGTGCTTCACAGATAATCTAAGAAGAACAGAACAACAGACATCTGTTGTCTCGAAGCTCTGACCGTGGGGGGGGGGGGGGCGAGAAAATCATCTCTGGCCGCTCAGCAGCCTAAACTTAGAAGCACGCTGAACAGAGATGCGGTGAGACGATCTGCTGCTTCCATTGCCTGGACTGGTAATGTCTAAATCAAGAACGTGACAGTGCTGGTGGTGGTAGTGCTGATAACACTTCAGACGAATGTTTCTCGTTTCCCCCGACGTCCTTTGTCTTGTCTGGCTTTGCCCTGTGCGACAGAGGCCATGCCAACGTTTCCGCCTAGTCGCTCGTGCCTCCTTGCGGCCCCCATCCACTGCCCCAGTCCTCTCTCTGTCTCTTCCCCCTCACATGACCTGATGGTACCCTGGCGTTGCCCCTCCTCATTTTCCCCTCCCTCTAAACTTCCCCGCACTCCACAGGAACTATATTTTCAGTCAATCTCCATAATAGTAGACAGCAACATAGTGAAGCTGGTGTCGAGTCGGTGGAACCCGGGTGACTTACCGGGGCGTTGCGGAGCCTGGGTGGGCCTCCTCTTCAAGTTGGAACAGTGGGCTGGTCCGAGATGTTCTCTGAGCATTCTTGGCGAAGACGAGGCGAGCCTCATAACTTGCTGAGTAGAAACCAAGCCCCGTACGGCCACAACGTCGCTCGCTTGGGTTACCAGGGTCTGTCCAAGTGCAAGTGTCAGTGAAAAGGGGGCGGCTCAACAAGCCAAGCCGGAGCTTCTCCTCACGACGTCGCGGAGCAATGCTCAATTTGGAGGCCCGAAGGATCGCGGCCTTCGTCGCGCTCCCTCAACGCGCGAAGCGCCTCAGGCGTATAGACCCAAGTATGCGGCATGCTTTGTGATGTTGACGCCACTGCTCAGTCATTGCGCGATATATCGAGATTGGGCCTCCACATTGCTTTCCCTTGAACTAGCCAAGAGTATACTCTCATAGTATATTCGAGTTGAGGCCATTGGGTGACGCGCTGAGGGGTGTTTCCCAGCTCCTTTGGGCCGAGTCTGAAGTATCACCAACGTACACCCCACCCAGCGTCCCGTAATGCCTTCGTGCTGAGATTTGGCTGCACATCTCAACCGATTTATATTCGTGAACGACGTGGGGTCATGCCTTGGCTTTATTCCCCTGTAAGCAAATACTTGCGCTCACCGAGTGTCCCCCCCCTGAATGTTTCGGTCGTGCCCGGAGATGCCAGGGGCTAACCTATTGCCAGGTAGATTCTCGAGTTGAGGCTCAAGGCAAAAACCGGAATGCTTGACGACATCTCGTCGATTCTAGCAAGAAGGGCTCTTCTGCCCATTTCAACACCAGTATGGTGCTGAATCATGATGCTCGGATTTCGCCTCCCTGTAGAGGTTCGCCGGCCACGCCTGCGCCCGCTGTAACTGGCGAGTTCGGTCTTAGACCTGTGCTGGCCTCTCCGCAAGCTCGCATCGCCCGGCAAGGGCGGCAAGAGACGACGCCATTAGACTGCAGGCTTTGAGGCTGCTATGCCTCGCGTCTTGGCCAGGCGAAGCTTGACGAAGCGAAGAAAAAGGGGGTGTGGTGGTCGTCGCGCCTTCCTCGATGAGTGCATACCTGCTTCGGAGCATCATGATCGGTGCGCGATAGTCAAACCCAAAGAGCACTGACCAGGCCCTGAGATCAAGCTTGATGCCAGTGCTGGAAGTCTTGTTGGCAGCATGCCCCCCCCCCGGACTTCAGCTCGATGGCCCGGTCGTCGCCACGTTGGCAGGATGTATGGAAGGCTTCGTTAGCCCATGCGATGGTTCGCCAGGGGGGAACAAGGATAAACGAGGAGGAGCAAGTTCAGGCATGAAAAGCCAACTTCTTTGGGCCCATGTGCCTGTTAATCCATTCTGTTGTCCTCTGTCGGGGTCTCCTGGAGCCCCCCCGAGTAGTGCTATGCGTCTGGGTTTGCCCCATTCTCCTCCCCCCTTTCACCTCGAAGACCATCTCCTTGCCCATCGCTTCACCCTCGCCATGTCTACCAAGACGAAAGCCAGCACCGTAACAGGCAGGGCAACACAGAAGTATACCCAGTACGTCCCCCTCAAGGAGGAGACGTCCTCTGACATGCTAAAGAAGCCTGTGACAAACGAAAGTGGTGCGAAAACGACGGCTAGATAGGTCAGCCGGCCTAGGTCCTGGTTCAGGCTATACCCCCTCCGACTCTCCTCGATCGATATGATTGCTGTTGCAACTGCCACGATCCGTTCTATACGTTGAAGCAAAGTATCGATGCCCTCTTCAACGACACGATAATCCTCCTTCAGGGATGATGTGTACTCTGACAAGGGACCATTGCTGCTGTTGAATACCTTGGCTGTCGCCTCCTTGATCAACGTCTTGTACAATGGTACACTGCGCCGCCAAGGATGCAGTTTGGCCAAACTGGAGTTGATGCCACTGGGATCGCGACGAAAGTCAGGATTCTCCAGCTCCCATTCGACTTGTCCGAGGCGAGTGGTGATGTAGCGGATTACTGTCAGCCACTCGGCGCAGACGATCTGTGATAAACCTCTCAGCATGATGCGAGGGTCAGCACCCATCTGTGCCACCTCAGCCCCCTCCATCCTGGTAACCCAATACACCACTGCCTCGAAAAGAGATGTTCTCGGCGGTGCTTTGAAAGGGCCGCGAGCTGATATGGACGGCGTAGGCTCAAAGTTGCGATATCCAGCCCACAGCGGTGACCCTTCCTTGACAGACGGGTCGACGAGCAGCACTCCTGGATGATCGTCAGCTGCCAAAATGGCCTCTACATTAGATCACGCATCCTCCACTACTCACCGACGGCCCCTCGATCTCCCTCGGCTGGCTTCCACCAGAACGAAGCCTTGCTTCTCACCAACGCCACAAGTGCGCCCTGTTGATCAAGGACTGTTTTGTGATTCTTGTCATTGTCTGCCCTCCGCAACACGTTGAATCGCCCTGCCTCCTTGGTAGCCTCGGCGAACGAAGCTTGACTGTCGAAATGCCTCGGCTGGAGATATCCTACGTGGAAGAACCGCCGCGTCCGCGAGGCGATTTGCAGATCGGGCAGCTCGACCCATGGGTCACGGGTGTTGTACCACCAGTAGTCGCTGATCTGTTCTCGGAAGAAGAGCGGATCAATATCTAACGCAGCGCCAAGCGTCTCGACAACGTCGCGCGACAGGTCCTCGACCACGTACAAGCGGTGGACGTCAGGCTGCACTGGCGCATTTCGCAGCGAGTTGGACAGCGCGTCGGGACTCGTGGCGGTGTGAATGGCGGGGGCAGCGCCGGGCGCAAAGTCAACGACGGCGATGTTGGTACGGCTGGCCCTCTCCTTGCGGATCACGGCCTGCTTTGCTTTGATGTGGCTCCATTTGACTGGCGAAGTCGTCACCTCCATCCAGTGGGCAAGATACCGCAGGTGAGGCCAGGCGTGCGACACGGCCTTGATGTGATCCAAGTAGGGACGCTTGATGCTGATGAAGTGTCAGTTGCCAAATCAGGAATCGCGGAGCGTCTGGTCAGTGCTAAGAGAAATTGTGTGATCCTCTCAATCCCATTGCTTTCCTGCCGAATTAATCACTTACCTGTCGCATAGTTCCCACTCCTGAACGCATTCTGCAGGCGTGGTATCGTAGACGTCGCCGATATAATAGGGGTCGCCCGCCTCAATTGAATGCGGAAGTACGAGGTTGCCGTCGAGCGTGTCACGGATATTCTCCCGATACTTCTCATGATCCGCGAGCGGCAACATGTGCCGTGGGGAGGACATCACGTTGGCAGGGAAGTGCTGATGGTTGCGCCAAGTGGGTCAGTCTCAACTGTAAAATTGAAAAGCTGGCGGTCGTCGTTGTCTTCTCCGAGATACGAGGACGCTCGTCGGCCTGGTTGCACAGCGATCCCATGTGTATGGGGGCAAGCTATCTTGGCCAGCGAGTTCAGGTGCACAAGGCTGAATTCCACTCAGCAATGAGGAGGCCGCCCGCCTGCAGATGGGACCCCCACAAGCGATGACCTGTCGGCTAGAACGGAACAGCCATTGACTGACTGGAGCATCTGCCTAATAATCGCGACTCTAGGCTTATGCACGAAGGCTGTGTCTTCGACCAATTGGCAGGCGCTAAACTGGAACCTTTTCGCAGGAGTGAGGCTGAGTCGTGCAACAATGAAATACATAATCGTCTTCATCCGATGATAGAAATGACGGGAGGATCAGAATCATCTATAGAGTCGACAACTACTACACATCTTCGTTTGTCAAACAAATAACTTTTGTCAAACAAATACCTTTCCTGAGAACTCAACATGACGGTCTCAAGTGCTAGTCTCGAAGAGCAGAATTGTATGGATCCAGCCGAAGCCCAGAAACCACAAGAAGTCGGAAATGATTCGCGGAACGAGACCGGTTCACGAGCGGCGAACCTCAATAGTTGGAATAAGAACTCGAACTTCTGGGACACGATCCTCGGCGAAGGCAACGATATGTTCACGCAGCTCATCCTGCCAACCATAGAGGAGCTCGCAGAGGTGCAACCCCATCATCGAGTGCTGGATCTGGGCACAGGCAACGGCATCGTCGCCCGAAGACTTGCTCGAAGAGGCGTTGCCGTACTAGCAACCGATTACAGCCCCCAGCAGATCGAAAACGCCCGAAAGCGTAGTCAAGATTTGGGTCTGGCGATAAGCTATGAACTCCTGGATCTCCTGAGTCGAGATGCGCTTGATGCATTTGCAGCCGAGCATGCCGAGTACGTGCCTGTAGGGTTATGTATCTTCTGCTTTCTAGGCTAATGTGTGGCAGGGAGTTTGACGTAATTACGGGAAGCATGTTGCTGAAAGAGCTCTCGGATCTGACCGAGCTTTCGAAATTCCTGCCAAAAGTGCTGAAACCTACTGGAAGGTGTGCCTATATCACACAAGTGCGTTTGCTGTTGACTATAGGCTCACATCCGCAGAATAATCATGGCGAACTTGCATCCATGTTTTCATAAGCCCGGAGCGCATCGCATCGTTGAGGTCATCGAAAATCAAGACACTGGTGTCCAGGAATTTCACACTTCGATCAAAATCTCTAAGTACCTGAATATTGGTCCTGTCCAGAGTCAAGCACTCCGAGGGCAGCCTGAACCACTTGTGAGTCGACACAGAAGGGGAAACTTCAGTTAGCAACTATAGTTGGTTTTAGAGGTTCGCACTGACGCTCGGCAAGATTTGGTTTCACCGACCCATTCACCAACTACTCGAACCTTTCTTCGATGCCGGTCTTCTCATGAACAAAGTGAGAGAACCATCTTTTGACGATGGTGGCGATCCCGGACAAGCACAGTCTTATCACAATTTCCCTCAAATACCCATGCAGTTCATCTTCCGGCTTGTCAGGACCTCGTGAGATGACAGCAGAAGGGAATGATTTTTTTTTTTGCAACAGCGAAGAAGTCGAGTTCATGCTTGAAGAGAAGGTTTGCATCCGCGAGTTGCGAATAGCAAGCTTTCATAGATACTTTAAAGGTATGGCCTGTCGATGACGGCGGTGCATAAATCCAGCTTGGAGACTGGAGGTGGGTATACCTAGCATATCAACATCATTAGAAAGCTTACTTACTGATATGCCGCTGCTCTTTATTCTCATGAACATGAAAATAAGTTATGCGCGAACGCCAGCTTTATGACTGCTTCAAACCTGGAGCGATAGACAGGAGACCCGATACACGGCTGCCATGTGCTCAGAATACAGTTCACCCATGCAGTGCGATTAAAAGCTTTTCTTCATTGAGGGACCGGCCAGGGGCATATTCAATCGACAGAACACTTTCTCCGAACAGGGCCTCGACACAGGCCAAGATACCACGGATGAGATAACTCATCTGGTGAGTTTTGTGACACTCAATATACTGATAACCTGCTGTAAGAACTGGCAGCAATGTGTTCCTCGATATTTATTATCACGGAACACAAAGGACTGAGCTTATGCTTTAGATTGATACCTGCAACCTATCTCCGACGAAAGCCTCGGGACGAGTACTAACGCCTGTTACATGAAAATACATACCGCCATGACTCAAGTGATGTAGAGCTGGGGCGAGACATGATCAAGACATGTCTCCTCAACCGCCGTTATTGCATTCCTCGGCAGCTGGTCGGATTTTGAGTGGCCGATTTGCCATCATCCAAAGATATTCTGATCTGACGAGTTTTATTTCCGCACTTGAACTTCGTTCTGTTCCAGCTTCTTTCTGTTCCGAATCTGGCATCTATGAAATACATTGAATGTCACTGCCTGTTCTGCTTGTCTATAGCTTGAAACTATCATCGGTGTATCTGATTTAACGCTAACTTTTGCCATCCGAATTGCCGCATTCTTCGGCACATTTTTCCACGTGGGCAGTGAAACAGGTACAGGGACCGTGCTATGGCAAAACCCGTGCCAAAGGAATTCAAAAATGAAAGAGTCTGCGAAAATGGCAAGATCAGACAGAACAGCATGGCTCTGGTCCATTCATGTCTGCTCTTGTCTTATCACGCAACTGAACTCACGGAGGAGACGATTGAGAGTTACTTATGAGTGGGAAGACAAGAACCTTAAGAATGCTATCTTTCCTACTCCGAGACACTAGTTTCCGCTGATCAACTGATATAAATATCATCGGGTTGTGCCCCCCCCGGAAGAACTCCCAACGCTCCACAGAACTGCATTGATCCCTCTCTTTTGCCTACTATACTCCATCACCCTCCTCCAGTATCTATTCACTATCCCAAGATGAGATTCACTATTGCGACGATTGCCCTGTTTGCTGGAGCTGTCATGGCACACCCAGCCAACCTCGAAACATCCCTCGAAACGCGTGAGATGCGCACCGCCTGCTCTGGCCTCCTTCACGGCACTCCTCTCTGCTGCTCTACCAGTATTCTTGGACTGGCCGTTCTAGACTGCTCTACGCGTACGTTGTTCGATGGTCTATCTGCGGCGCTTCGATTCGCTTCAAGAAATACCCCAATTGCAACTCGAGCGCAACTAATTCGTTCTTCCAACAACAGCAAAGAGTGCCAGGAACGGCGAGGATATGAGGCGGAACTGCAACGGAAAGCAGCCCCAGTGCTGCACCCTGGGAATCAGCGAAATTGCCCTTCTTTGCCAGAGGCCCATCGGAGCTTAATACAACGCCATGCGGCGCGGCAGTAATGGTGGAAGCTACGGCTCGCAGTGTACTCTGTCTTTTCTTCTCTCAACCGAGTCCCTCGACTCGGAATACACGAAAATCTTTAGCTCGCTCTATAGGAGAAATGTCGGGAATTTTGTCCTTGGTCTAGCACGACATGTTACAGATTGCACGCTTTGCGGGCGTCTTAAAAATAGAAAATCATCTTCTATTGATATGGTTTCTCCCTACGTTTAAAATGGCGTGGAGTTCTACTTTGCTGTTCAGACCCGAGCGACGATCTGTAGAACTATAATCTGACAGAAAGGCACGAATCTGTTATTCTAGGTCAAGCCAAGCCGGATTCCGTATCGGCGTTGATCGTCTTCCGCAAGCCAACATATTTCTGGCAAAAATACATGGCCAGCAAGATTACGACTAGCAGAAAAGTGCAGAGTACTTTGGCGTCGAAATTGTTGAATGTTTGAAGTGGGCTCCACAAAGCTGAAGTGCGACGAGGACCAGATTGGAAGGAAGAACGAGTCTATCAAGGACGGGTCTCTGAACAACAGAATCGTCATCAGATGTATAAGCACAGGTGATCTAATTCTTTGCCCAACAAGACTGCCTGGTTTTCTCCGATTCCTCTATCTTTAGTCGGTCTCCTGATCAGTCAGGGCCCTCTTCTTGGGACACACAATCTCGTTGATCCTGAGAGCGGCCGTATCATGGGCATCGAGGTCGATCTTGAACGAGTCCTCAAAGGCCCCGAGGTCACTTCCGGTCCACATGTTGTGGACAACGTACCGCTTGCCAGCCTCGAGGCCCGGGACGTCGGCGAAAACAACAACCTTCTCATCTTCCACATCCAGCGTGTTGAGGATGAAGACGTGCGTTCCCTTTGACGACTCGCCAGCCCAGTACTCTGCCGGGTTCGTCTGGTTCCATGACCCAAACTCGCGGCCAAGGCCCCAGTCGTACGGCTTGGCAGAGGCACCCACAATGGGGTCCTGGTTAAAGTCGACGAGCTCCTTGTTCGCTAGGATCGCGAGGATCTCGGGCTTGATCCCCTCGAGACGCGTGCCGATGATCAGAGGGCTCTTGAGCGCTGCCCACAGAGCAAAGTGGCTGCGGCTCTCAGCAAGAGTCAGCTCGCCGTTGCCGACCTCGAGCATGTCCCAGTCGTTGTGGCCCCAGAAGTCGGTTGTGTTCCAGAAAAAGGAGGCATGGTTGAGGATCGGCGCGATGCCCCAGCTCCATCTGTGCGCATTGTCAGGTCGTCCGCTAGTACCCCATTGTCCATGAAACGACAGGACTTACTCGTGCTTCCCGTGCCACACGGGGTAGATGTCTCCCCACATGCGCCAGCTGTGTCCCGTGTCGTTGCCCCACTGCTCGACGTGGGGCGTGGCCCCATGCGCAGAGGGAGTACTGGATCGTGCGGTCCTGCTTCAGCAGCTCGTCGCGCATGCGGCGGAAGCGTTCCGCCGAGTTGGACGTGGCCCAGTCGTAGCCGGGGGGCGCGGGCTTGTCCGTCTTGGAGTTGACGGGCGAGCCGTCGTCCTGCTTCTCGTTGGGAGGGCCGCCGAACCAGTTCTCGGGAACGTACTTAACAGTCGTCCCACCACTCCTCGGGACGGCACAGTTGTCGTATTTGAGGGAA